GTTCTAGAATTTAAACAACCATAAGAAAACTAGTTCCACCATAAGTATTTAAACCATTACAAATTAAAACTAAAAACTAACAAACAAAATCAATAAAAGAAAATACTATGCGGGTTTAGGTTTGAGTTTAGGTTTTATATGGAATAAGAGAAGATACAATGCAGGAGGGTGTATAATATAAATATAGGCTATTTGTATACGGTCCAGACCGGTTCTAATCCAGAATTGTAGGGTTCAATCCGAAACCGATCCATGGACTACGGATTTTTAATCTTTCAATTCGGAATCAAACTACGGATTCAAAAAACCAATCCAAACCTACCGAATTGGACTAGACCAGATCAGATTACGTATTTTATGGATTCCTTGCTTAATCCTTGGTGTTGTTTGGTAGAAGTGGTCCTTGACCTTTTTAGTCAGCCGAGATGAAGTGACCTTGGCGGTGGGAAGAGTGATGACAGTGCTTGTTCCTTGCTCGGTTGACTGCCTTTTGGGTTGTGTGTTCTTAGGGGTAAATGAGCCTTGCGCGGTGATGAGAGCCTTGATTCCCCTTCGTTTAGCCATTTTTTCCTCCTCGGTCAAAGGGATAAGAACAAGTTCTAGAAGGGAAGGATTTGGCTCAGGTGAAGGCTCTAGAAGGAAGTTTGTGACCTTACTCTTTTGTTAGCCATTTTTTCCTCCTCGGTCAAAGGGATAAGAACAAGTTCTAGAAGGGAAGGATTTGGCTCAGGTGAAGGCTCTAGAAGGAAGTTTGTGACCTTACTCTTTTGTTAGCCATTTTTTCCTCCTCGGTCAAATGAGTCGAGTCTAAACCAAAATCACTATAATCTCCCCCTTAAGAAATTTCATCCCTGAAATTTAAAATCAACAACAAACATTGAAATAAAATCAATAACAAACATTGAAATAAAATCAATCATATGCCATCCAAACTTGTAACATGGATACACTGAGTGTTTCAACATTAATAATTTCCATTAAATTCTCCAAAACATATACAATGTTCATATATATACATATGTGTGTGTGTGCGTTACATTATATGTAAAAGTTCCAACACAAGTCTCAAATAACAACAAATAAGTCCGGATACTTCTCACGGCTTCCGCCTCATGCTCCCAAGTCGCCTCCTCAACCCTGTGATGTCACCACAACACCTTAACTAATGGAATAGTCTTGGCAAGACTTGGTCTCGAGAGTCTAAAACTTGTATCGGTCTCTCCTCATATGAGGCATCCTCATCTATCTCCAACTTGGTCCAATCTAACACATGTGAAGGATCTGACTTGTACTTCCAGAGCATACAAATATGGAACGCGTCATGAACCCCAGAAAGTTTGGACGACGTGGCCAAACGATAACCTATCACTCTGATCCGCTCTAGAATCTCAAAAGGCCTAATAAATCTAGGGGACAACTTCTCGCTCTTCCCAAATCTCATCAAACGTTGTCTCGGTGATATCTTTAGGAATATGTGATCTCCTACCTCAAAAGATAAGGTCTCCTCCTACGGTCGACATAGCTCTTCTGGTGACTTTGAGTCGAAACCAATCTCTTACAAATAAGTGCGACTTTCTCCATTGTTTTCTGGACTAATTCAAGACCTAACATAGATGCGTCACCCACCTCAGCCCAACACATTGGAGATCTACATGGTCAGCCATACAAGGCCTTAAACGGCGCCATATCAATACTTGCCTGAAAGCTATAATTATAGACATACTTCACTAAAGGTAAATGACTCTCCCACAACCCCTTAAAATCAAGAACACAATCCCGAAGCATGTCCTCTAAGATTTGGATGGTTCGTTCGGACTGCCCGTCAGTCTGAGAATGATAGGCGGTACTAAACATCAATCTAGTGCCCAAGGCATTATGTAGGCTCTACCACAACCGAGTAGTGAAATGAGGATCTCTATCGAAAATGATAGTCACTGGAACCCCATGAAGTCGAATGATGCCCCTAACATAAAGGTTGGCAAGATAATTTACCGAGTCACTCATGTGCATAGGCACAAAGTGTGCTGATTTAGTTAATCGGTTGACTATCACCCATATGGCATCATTACCCTGTTGAGTCCTCAGAAGACCTATAACAAAATCCATTATGACATGATCCCATTTCCACTCAGTTATAGGTAAAGGTTGCAACAAACCCGCTCCTCGTTGATGTCCGATCTTCACTTGCTGACAAGTAAGGCACCTCGAAACAAACAAGGCTACGTCTCTCTTGATCCCCCTCTACCAAAACTAGCGGCTAAGATCGTGGTACATCTTTGTGCCTCCTGGGTGTACCACAAGAAGCAAATTGTGGAACTCTCAGAGTACCTCCTCTCTACAAGATTCTGGCACGAAATGATAGTTCAAATATCTCATACTAGAGTCAAATACACATTTAAGCCCTTCTCCACCTTATCACTAGTTATCTTCCCTTGGATAACTTCCACTTCATGATCACCCCGCTGTGTTTCTATTACTCAGCTTACTAGTGTAGGTTGCACAACTACAACGAACAAGACGGCCGACTCAACAAACTCGTTAAGATGCAAGTCGAACTCGCCAATAGCACCCAACATCTCCCATTCCTAGATGGCAATACTAGCTATGCTGCTTACTGTCTTCCTACTTAAAGTGTCGACCATTGCATTAGCCTTCCCTGGATGATAATGCAACCCAAAATCATAATCCTCCATGAACTCCATTCATTTCCTCTATCTCAAATTCAAATTTTTCTATGAAAATAGATACTTCAAACTTTTGTGATCGGAAAACACCTCGAACCTCTCACCATATAAGTAATGCCTCCAAATTTTTAAGGCAAAAATCACCGCCGCTAGCTCTAAATCGCGAGTAGGACAATTTCTCTCATAAGTTTTCAACTGCTGCGAACTGTAGGCTACCACCTTTCCATCTTTCATCAACACACAATCCAAATGCACTACCTCCATCTTAGAAGAGTCTACAGTCATCCCTTCCCAAGATACCACATGGCCTAAGAACTTAGCTTCTTTTAACCAGAACTCGCACTTCCCAAACTTGGCATAAAGACTGTGTGCTAAACAACTTAAGTATGACCCGCAAGTATTCCTCGTGTTCCTTCTCGGAGGGTGAGTAGATCAAGATGTCGTCAACAAAGACAACCACAAAATGGTCTAAGAACGCACGGAAGGCTCGATTCATCAAATCCATAAACAAAGCTAGTGAATTGGTTAGCCAAAAAGGCATCACTAAGAACTCATAGTGGCCATACCGCATACAGAATGCCGTTTTTTGAATATCCTCCTCCTTCACCCTCAACTGGTGATAGCCCGATCTTAAGTCAATTTTAGAAAAGCAACAAAACCCCTTCAACTAGTCAAACATATTATCTATATGAGGTAATGGGTACTTGTTCTTAACAGTTACCCAGCTTAGCTTTCGATAATCAATACACAAACGCAAAGTGCCACTATAAGAAAAGGGGACATATAACATGGAAGCATTTGCGACGACACCACTTATCATTGCAAAAAGTGAGTTTTTGCGATTCCACCACTTGTCATTGCCAATAAATCGGGTTTCAGCAATGGCGTCACTTCCTATCACAAAAAAGACAAGTTTTTGCAATGGCAACCCCTGCTGTCACGAATAAAGCTATTTTTTGCGACGGCATGAACTACAGTCGCAATTAAGATAGTTTTTTTACAACAATAATAGGTGTCGTTGCAAACAAAAAAATTTAAAAAATAGAAAATGATACTGTTTTGATATAACATTTCTCTTTTCACCCATTTTTACATCTTCCTGTCTCTCTCTTTCTCTCTCTTTTCTTTCTTACTCATCACTATTGTGTGTGTGTGTGTGTCTCTCTCTCTCTCTCTCTCTTCTCTCTGTGTCTCTCGTTCATCTCTCTTCTTTCTTTGTCTCTCTCGCTCATCTCTCCTCTCTATTTCTTTCATCTCTCTTCTCTCTCTGTCTCTCTCGTTCATACTCTTCTCTCTATCTCTCTTGCTCATCTCTCTTCTTTCTATCTCTCTCGCTCATCTCTCTTCTCTCTCTCTCTTTTTCTTTCTCTTTCTCTTTCTATGTCTTTCTCTCTCGTTCATCTCTTTTCTCTCTCTTTCTTTCTCTGTCTTCTTGTCTGTTTGCTTGTCTCTCTCTCTCTCTCTCTCTCTCTCTCCCCTATTGTGTACGCCTTGCTCACTCCCTTCCTCCCCTCTTCTTTATTTACCGAGCTCCCTCTCGATTTATAGATCCACTACAAGAAAATGCACTTTTAGCTACCACTTTATCTCTCTCTCACTCTCGTTCATCACTCTGTCTCTGTCTCTCTTTCTCTATCTCTATCTATCTCTCACTTATCTCTCTCTCTTACCACCCATCTTCTCTACCACCTTCACCACTACTACAAATGCCATTCTACTACCATTACTACTACCATTGTTGCCACTCCACCTCTACAACTACTATTACTACCACCATCGCCACCACTCCACTACCACTACCACCACTACCGTCACTACTACTACCATTACCTCTCCTCCACCAACGCCACTCCATCTCTTTTACCACTATCACTACCACAACTTCACCACTAACCTCCTTCGCCATCACCACCACTACCACCACCACCATCACCTCTTATCCACCACCTTCACCACTACTGCCACTCCCTTTCCTCTACCACCAAAAATTAGTTCCTGATTTTTAGTAACTAGAAAAAATGGGCTGCAGAAAAATATTTTTCATTGACCACAAAAAATTAACTTTATTTTAATAGAAAATATTTTTTATTAGAATATTACCCCTACTTCTACCAAATAAAAAATAATAATAATAAATTTTTTTCATCAAAATAAAAATGAAACAAATAAATTTTCAACCTTAGTAACTAAAATTTATTTTAACAAAAAATAAATAAAATCCCATATATATATTCTCACAAATAGTCCAAAATCCCCAATTTTTCCAATTTTTCTCAAACCTTTGGCGCCTATAATTTCTTTTTCCCTCTTCTCTCATTTTCACGTTCAAATCTCTCTCTCTCTCTCTCTCTCTCTCTCTCTCCCCATCTCCATCTTCGCGCTACTCATCTCACTCTCATTCCGACTCTGCTACTCATCTCACTCTCATCCCAACTCCTCCACCGGCAAGAGCTCGAATCTGCAGAGCATCAATGTCGAAGCACACTATAATATAAGGAACCAGGGATTCTAGAGAGCTCGAATTTGCTGAGCAAGTTGTTGCCCTCGTAAACCCTAACATTGGTATGTATTCTCTTGTCTCTCTCTCTCTCTCACACTTTATTTATTTATATTTTATTTTTTTATCTTCAAGGCTTGAATCTCATGCTCTAGGTCGACGACCCTATGTGATCTCCAAATTCGCTCTTAATTTCCAAATTCGACTCCCTCAAGTAAAAGCTGCCTCCTTTGTTTCATGGTTTATATGTGTTTGCTTAATTTACTACTCATAATTGATAGAATTCCCGACATTATTGGAATTACAGATGTGTCTTGCCTAAATGAGGATGGTCCAGAAGCTTGGCATATCCAGGTATGTTAGTTTATGAAGGTCGTTAAATTAGATATTCAAAATTATTAAATACTCAATTTTTATTAACTAACTTATTTAAAAATTATAGTTTTTTCGTTCAATTGATTCCAATTCTGTGAAGGGGTTTCCAAAAGTCCCAAAAGATGCCACAAGCAGGGTGAGAGAAAATTTTGATTGTGATTTGCCCCTTGATTATTTTTCCGTCAATCTTGTTTATGAGGTGTGCTTCTTAATATCTTCCCTTCATTATAACAGGACCTGGTATGTGGGAAGAATGTACTGATAGACATGAGTATACATACTGCATATGTAAAGGCAATCTGTGCTGCCCAACATTTCATTTACATTGAGAACCAGTACTTCATTGGGTCATCATACAATTGGACTAACCACAGAGACTTGGGTGAGGAATTGACATTCAGGATAAACTGAAAGGGAAAAAATAAGGATATGTTGTTACTATCACATATTAAAAGTAGTAATGTGAAAATTATATATAGGTATCCGAGTATACAGTAACTCATATATTATCATTTGTTGTGGAAATTATGCACTATCAGCTGCTTGTAATGGTTAATATCTAACTCATTACCCTAGTTTTCATTTTCTTCATTTTTCATGCTCTGGTTGCTTGCTGAAACAAACATGACAAGGGAAATAAAAACATTATAATCTTGAGGAAAGATAGGGTGGCTGTTGTGAAATTACAAGTTTTCTAGACAGTGAAAGTGAGCATTTTGAGGATGATATATATGTTTCTTATTACCCACAGGTGCAAAAAATTTAATACGAATGGAAACTCCTCTCAAAATTGCAAATAAAATCATAGCAGACAGATTTTCTGCATATATTGTCATCCCAATGTGGCCGGAGGGTGTTCCTATAGGTGCTCAGACTCAAAGGATTCTTCTGTGGCAGGTATGTGATCATTCAAGTATTTTTTTTTTAATGGACACCAAACATTACTTTAGTTTTATGTGTATAATTTTATAGATTTTCTTTTTTCTAATTTTATTTTTCAAAAGATAACTATTAGATTTCCGAACAGATTTTGCTACTAGGTGATACTCAATGACATACACATATCCTTATTACGCTTTTTATCTATCTATAACATTTGACAATTTATTATATTCGTATGTTGGGCATGGTAGTGCCAACTGGTGGTCTAGTGTTCATGTACCTTTTGTTTGTTAACATGCATCAATGAGACCAAGTATTAGTGTTCCAAAGTTCAAGGACACCATTGGATGTCCATCAGTCTTACTATTAATAGGATTTTTGACACTGCTAATTGTTTATTATGAGCATGATTGCAAGATTTTGTAACTGGAGACAATATATTCTTGTGCTAGTATGTGTTTATTTACCAATAACATCAGATGGTATATGTTGTTTATGTGGGACATGGACATACTGGAGAAGTGTTTGTAAACATTCATTCATTGATCAAATTGAATATAAAATTTCCAAAATTCTCATGGACTTCTCACCTTGTTTTGTTTCTATCCAATTTGCCCAACCGAGAGTTTACATCTACTGTAAGGTATTATTATCCAACATTCACTTTTTCTGTGACTAAAACTGACTTATAATCTCTGCTGTAGGACCTAAATGGCAGGTCAATCTGAGTAAGCATGGCTGAAGCTAGGCAAGGCGTCAATTTTAATCATTGAACCTTTTGAGCTTTCTTCAACTAAGAATACACTCAGGGTACATATTTAACGAATTTGCATTTAAATTGTTTGCTATCCTCCTACATCTTGAAAATCGTACTTTAGGCAATTGTCTTGGTGTTTTTTGGCTTTAAAGAGATCCAAAACATGTAAAGATGTTGCAAGAGGTTTTCCATAGAGATTATCATTTCAAATAAACTGCTTTATTTTCCTTCACACTTTAGGTTCTTGTGTTTACCCTTTTTTATTGTAGTGTATGTAGCATTTATTTGGTGACTTGAAAAAACTAGTTTCATGTTCACATGATGGATCTTTACCGAAATGATGTTGGTCTAGGCAAACTAGTTCAAACTGGGCACACACGACCGCCTAGGCGCTATAGACATGTAGGAGAAGACGGGACTCGAATCGGGTTCTTGGTTTGGGAGTTAGAGCTGGATTTCGGTCTCGGCACACTAGTTCCTTAGGAAACTTAGAATTTTAGGGGTTGACGTCCCAAAATCACCAAATGGAGTCGGATTAGCACAAAACTTGGCACACACGACCGCCTATGCACAACAGACTTGTGGGAGAAGACGAGACTCAAATCGGGCTCTTGGTTTGGGAGTTAGAGCCGGATTTTGGTCTCGGTAAATTAATTCCTTAAGAAGCTTAGAAGTTGATGTGTTGACGCCCCAAAATCACCAAACGGCATCAGATTAGCAAGAAACTTGGCACACACGACCACCTAGGTATGAGAGACTTGTAGGAGAAGACCGGTCTTGAATCGGGTTCCCGGTTTGGGAGTTAGAGCCGGATTTCGGTCTCGGCAAATTAGTTCCTTAAGAAACTTAGAATTTGAGGGGTTAATGGCTCAAAATCACCAAACGGCGTCGGAGTAGCACGAAACTTGGCACACATGACCGCCTAAGCACGAGAGACTTGTGGGAGAAGACGAGACTCGAATCGTATTCTCGGTTTGGGAGTTAGAACCGGATTTTATTCTAGACAAACTAGTTTCTTAAGAAACTTAGAATTCGAGGTGTTGACGCCCCAAAATCACCAAACGGCATCAGATTAGCACGAAACTTGGCACATTCGACCGCCTAGGCACGAAAGACTTGTGGGAGAAGACGAGACTCGAATCGGGTTCCCGATTTGGGAGTTAGAGCCGAACTTTAGTTTGGACAAACTAGTTTCTTAAGAAACTTAGAATTTGAAGTGTTAATGTCCCAAAATCACCAAACGACGTCAGAGTAGCACGAAACTTGGCACACACGACCGTGTAGACACCCCATTTTTGACCGCCCTTAAGACTTGGGCACTACTGATGGTTTGCTCGGTGTTGAGAGATGTGCAGGGCAAAGAATCAGTTTCTTCGGCTAGAAGAGAGGCAAATCTTTCAAAACACTTTGTTTAGGGTTTTGGAGTTGAAGAAAAGAGGAGAAGAGGGGAGAAGCCAAGTTGGAGAAGAAGATAGGCAAGAATTGCTAGAAGCGAGTCGAGCAGCCCTCGCTGAATCGGGCTTATCTATCTGTACACTTGGAGTTTAGCTATGGGGCCACCACCGTCGGAAAGCTTACTTCCGGGGCTTCATTTTGCACTCAAGAATCTCTTAAAGCCAAGTCCGGGTGGGGGAGATATGATTGGTTGAAGTTGGGTATCATCCCGGTTGGGTCGAATCTGCGCGGCTTCACCAAAATGGGCATAACTTTTTCCACAGGAGGAATTTTAATGCAAAGTTTGCGCCATTGGAAAGATAACTTCCGGGGCTTCAATTTGGGCACCACCCGGCCATTTTTTGACCTTACCGGCCATCCACCGGCACTATATTTATCCGGCCGGCAATTTATTGTGCCCACCGGCACTTTATTTTGCTGACCGGCAATTTTTGTTAGCCGACGACCTTCCGGAGCATTCTGCAGATTGAGTGGATTCCAGCTGTGCCAGCTGGAATGCACAGAATTGATCCCCCACGCACATGTGTGTTTGTTTTGCACCTTGTGAGCCTTTGAACCCCCTAACCTTCTAGAAGCTTGAACCTTTTGGCCAAGCTTCTCTTAGCTTCCTCTAGAAGCCTTGCACCCCCCTTGAACCCCTTGGCCCCTTTGAAGCTTGTCTTAGAAGCTTAGCATTGCTTATATAAGCACCTCTCCTCCTCCTTTGTTGAGGTTAGAGATTTGAAGCAAAAAACTAGAGATATACCACATATATCTGATATACATACATACAACCCTCCATCTCTCTCCATATCTCTCTCATTCAACCATCAAACACCCTTGTTCTTGGGCCATTTCTTCATCAACTCATAGCACAAGGCATCCAACGCCCATTCCAGCAGCTTGAGGCTGTCCTCCAGAGGTTAAAAGCTCCCAAACTCTGGTTTTGATTATCTATGCCTTCTCTGTATCCGAGAGTTCGGTTGTGGTCGTCACTTTGAAGACTGATA